ACTATACTACTAATAATAATAAGACATATTTTAGTATATTTATCTCATTTTTATGTAGCCATGCGGCCATACAAATAATATTAGGCATATCTAAAGTATATATTTAAGTATCACAAACATAAGTAATCAATACTAACAGAGGTGTTCGAGTTTTTGACGAGAAACAAATATTTTTATATTGAATTTTAATAATTTCGGTAAAATTATTTTTTTCCAAACATCTTCACAAAATCGAATTCATTATTTTGCGATTTATTTTGCACAATGATCAAAGAATAACAATATAATAAAATATATTATAGCTCAACTAAAAAGGAATTATTTTTAAAATGTATACGAATATTGATAGTTATACATTATACGATGTTTATTAGGTTTATAAATTTTAGCTAAAATTTAAAATCATACTATAATAGGTAGGTACCTAACCTATATATTACGTTTAATCTTTACTAAATTTCATAAATTAATCTCATATTATATAATGCGTTAAGTCCGGCAGACAAAACACATTGATGTAAATTTAAATCTATAATATTATAGAATATTATATTTCAAACAAACACCTTATCGCAGTTACATTTTTTTAGGGTACAAAGTGTTAATTTATTTTTATCCCAACACTATACAAATAATACAAATAACTAATTGGACTCGAATAGACCGRTAACGGCTAAAACGTTTTGATACTTAACGAAATGATGATTAAATTTCTCTAGATTCTTACAGCGGGGAAAGAAAAAATACGTCAATATATTTCATGTGATTTCATTCACATTGTATTTTCAGTGGTGAACAGTGGTCTCATCCAACCTATGCGCTTTTTAAATAATATGTATTACCTGTTATAAATTTTAAATTCAAGAATCTCTTATGATTTTGTATTTATTCAAATACCTAGATACGATGATCAATCTAAAAATCATGAATATAATGATTTTAAGTATTTTCGTTATCGGCGGATTAGCAGCTTTTGATATTGAATACAAATCACATACAGGTATACTTTAAAATTTTAAGATTTATTTTAAAAATTTAGAACCCGTAAAATACTATTTTTTAACACAGGTAGTACTAAATTATTAYGAAAATAGGTGTATATATCCATGTATTATTTATGAAAACTATGCATATTATTAAGCGTACACAAATATTTTAAGTTATAACCAGACCATCGTCATAGGTACTTTTGAATGTATTATATATTAATATGTTTCTCAATAATACATAATTAAGTCTTAAAAATATTACACAGTATAAAAATTCAACTATCCACAAGAATTTGTTTTTAAAAACAAAATATATATGAGTATTATTTTTTTAATGTACATAATAAAATTACATAAATTGATACATTGCTGTAGTTAACTGTGTTGATTTAAATTTGGTTTTAAATTCAGTGGGTAGTTTAAATTATTGTAATTATATATTAAGTGTTTGCAAAGAAATCATTTTATAACTTTTGAATTTTTTCCTCAGATCACTATGACATCACAACAATTTATAAAATGGGATATAATACTGGAGAAGAAAGGAATCGTAAATATTTAATTACAATCGRAATTTAAACAGCTTAACATTAAATTTACTCTTTTTAGGAGAATCTTTCAATAATTCCAAGTGTCTCGGATGCTATGATGCAGAAATTCATTTGAGAACAAATGCAATTGGTATGCCAATTGGGTTTAATGGAATAATTCTGAGTTCCGATAAGAAAAGTCTAGAATTCATAGCAGATAGCAAGTATCCATCCAACATTTTCACGCGAAATCAAATTGAGTACGAC